ACAGGTAAACTATTGTAATAATGGTACCAAGTAAAAACAATTTAAAGGCAATGCTGTAAAATCTATGAGTTTCTGAGAACTCCTTCAGGAGGTTAATGTTGTCTATAGAAGAGTCTGAAAAGTAAGCAAAAATTATAAATATTCTATGCAAGAAATCTTGTTTTTTCCAACACCTGGAAGACCCTATACACAAAATGGACGCCACAAAAACTTAGGAATGAGAATTAAACAAAATTAGAAATGCAGTTCCTGAAACAAGGAGCTCAAAGACAGTTACAAAAGAGTGTGGTGTTCAACACAGTGAATCTCTTCTCATTTGATCCAATTGGAAAACATATGCATTCCTAGAGATCATCTGAAAAACAGGGCAGGGGTCATATAACTAGTCTGATATAACTACTACCTCAGTGTTTGACTATATGCCAAATACACTGTGCTTGAATTCTTGTCGTGGACAAAGAGAGGACTGTATCTTACACCCGAAGCCAGGATTTTATTGTTAAATCTCATTTAAAGGCTTAACTATGTAACCAAGATACAGAAAACAGTTAAAGCTACTAGCCTGAATGAAGTTTAAAAATTTGTTTTGAAATTACATCTAATGAGCAACACTACATTTAAAGGCTGTAACAACATCCCTCTCCTCGATCTAATGCTTTTTCTTTGGTGCTGCATTTACTGCTCCACTGCTCCACTTGCTACATTCACCTCTCCATCTACTAAAGCTTTCTTTTTTCTTTTTTTCCCAGGGATAATAAGTGTGACAGAAAGCTATCATCCTGAAATACTTGTTTGAAGAGTATGATTTTCATGCAGGGGATTTCTCCTCTTTGCTAGGAAAAATGCGGTATTGATGTTAAGTGTTTCCTCCTCACTCTAGGGACAACTTGGTTGCATTTTTATATGTTTGTTAATGTGTACGTACCCTGACTTTTCTTCTGTAGTTTTCAACTCTTATATTACATCTAAATTTACTATATGTGGCAGGATTTATACATGAGACACTTGGCTTTTTTTGTTATCCCTACAAGTGCTGTTGCACAGTTCCTAGGATTGCAATATCTTCTCTAATGACTAATTGAGAGTCCCGGGGCCTTTATCACACTATACCTTCATAATGCTCAGTCATTAATCTAGAGATTCAGGGGTCATTCTACATAGCATAATTAATTGCTACACCAATTTATACAAGAACTTTTAGCTATAGGCATTGCATCAATATGAAGATAAGAAAAATGAAAACAAATGAGGGAATAGACACCTGATCACTGGACAATAGCTGTTAGAGGTAAACAAGCTGAAACAAAGCTACAAGCTGGCTGAGACTAGTCTACATAAAACCTGACAAGCACTCAGGACTGTATTAACTTAATACAAAGCCTGTGGCTTGTTATCAGCAACAACGATACTGTATTTACCTGGGGCTACACAGGACACTCTAAGGTGGAGTAGAAATTTCAAGGGATCCAGTCCATTTTTTTTTTTTTTTTACCATTTAATGATCAATTTTGCGTCTCTGAAATACACAGCATTTAGACTGAAATTTAGGGTGAGAGCTGAAGACAAGTTTAGACTTTAGACATGAACAGTTTTGAGAAATCTATATTATTGTAAATTATTGTGAACTCTGACAAAAATGGAAAGGAAAAATAGATTAGAATACTACTTTATCTTCTGTCATTCACATCTCAAGGACCAGACCTGATTTCTAGCTAGAATAGGTTTAAGCTAGGAATGGGGTTAGAACCTGGGAAAGTATAGGCTGAGAAGCCCAGTTTCCTGCTGCATCTTATAGGTCATTTGGAGTAGGGAAAGGGATTAGTGTTATCTTAATAAAAAGTGTCTTCTTTACTCTTTGTTGGTTCCTGTCTCATGTCCACATTTACATTTTGGAATGAGGTAGGACTGAGACCAGAATTACAATTAGGGCTTTGGAAAGCACAGGATCACAAACCCAGGTTCTGCCTATGGCAAAAACACAAAAAACATATGGTAAATGAAAGTTTTCCCCCTTCCTTCTCCCTCCAAAATACAGCTTGTTTATTGCAGTCATCCTTCTATCTCATGTATTGATCTTGCTGGGGAATTCAGAGTTTGGGTCACTGTGTGCTGACAGCCAGGGTAGGCTTCAGCACTAAGAGTGCCTGTCAGGGCAGATCTGGCGTTGCTATTCATGTGTTGGTGCCTGAATTCAGGTGCTCGGAGTCTCTCAAGTGAATTCACAGATACTTTGTGGACTCGGGCACTCAGTGCATGAGACAGCCTGTTAGCAGCCCAGGTCTCTGCCGGGATGACCCAGCTCCAGAAAGCACAAGTGTATCGGGCTGCACCCTCACTGTGCTGTCACATGCAGACATGCTGTTCTCCTTTTCTTTAGTGGTTTTGTTCACAGACCTCTCCATAAATTAAAAATAATGACCAAAATTGCCAACAGGACACTGAGCTCCTTCTCCCTGCGCTTTCCCTGCCTGCCTGAGCCAAGAAAGGATTGAGTCGGAAGAAAGCGGAGGTGGCGCCGGCCAAACAGAATCTCAAGGGCTGGCGGCCCGGGTCCTAGCGGTGTTATGGCGTCCCCTGGCGGTCGTGCCTGGCGCCGCTCACGTCTGAGCGAGACGCGGCGGAGCGGGCCGCCATGCCGGGGCGGAGTTGCATTGAGGCCGCCCTCTCAGCGTTGTGACCGTAGGCACGGTTGTGACCCGTGCGGAGCTCTAGCGGATAAGTTCGCAGTTCGAGCACCTTGGGCTCCTCTGGTATAATCACTATAATCACTAATACAAATTTTTAACTCCGAGTTGCTGTTTGTTAACTTGATTTTCTAAGTCGCCCTTGAGCAGATGCACGGACCCTTAGCCTGCCTGCTGCGGTGAGCGCATTCCCCAGTGTGAGTTGTCAGTTGTCACCGCCTCCTTGGCAAAGTGCGAACCAATGTGCCGCAGCGGTTGTCGACGGCATAAATAACACCCTTAAAAGTGAGAATGAAGTGATTATTTGGGGTTTAGCCACCTGTTCTAATTGAGCTGGCACCAAAGTGGGATGCGCAGTCCCAGCCAGCAGCTCTCCCCGGCTGTGCCATGTCTGAGATCACTGGCTTTACTGGGAGAACTTTGGGGCCAGGGGTGGCTGGGCTCGAAATAAACCTCTTCCTGAGGTAAAGAGAAACACATCAGTGAGTTTGCATCCACAGTCATTTATCTTGGAGGATCACAAAGTATTGTGCTTATGTATCACTGGTTTGCCAGAAACTCAGGTTAAGGATTGAAAAATGAACAAGTCATGCCAATCACCATGTGTCAAGTGTTTCGTTTCTACCATTGATCAGCCTGTCTTCTTACTGCGTGATGTAGGATACTCAATCTGTTCAGCTTTGTATTCATCAGCTTTCAGCCTGCAGTGCAAGGTCCATCTGATTCTAAGGTGTTTGCTGGATATGTTTGAGAGATGTGTTTGCTTATGGGTTTGTTTCTTAAAGTTCTTGACCTTTATTATTCCACTAGGACCTTCAGAAATTAATGCTGATGCCACCACAGTTCAAACTGTTCATTTAAAATGAGATTTATTGCTGGAAATGAAACCAGAAACCTTACCATTGGAAATACAGTATTTTCAGCACAAACAAGGAATTAATCAAGTGAACCATTACAGATCAGGCTGAAATAGAAATCCAGAAAATACAAATTATATCTTAGTCATGTGCTGGTTTAGGACAACTCTCTGCACAGCTCTGGCTAAGGGTTCATGCACATGATTTTCAAAATCAAGCATAGAAAGACTGCACTGTAGCTTGGCGAGTGTCTGTCAAGGTGCTGCTCCATGAACTGAAGCTTCAAAGTGCTACTCCATGAACCAAAGCCTAATAATGACTCTTGAAATGTCTTCAATTGAAGGCGTTTGGTTTTTTTTAAACATTATTTATCATATTTCAAAAGTGAGTGTTGCTCCAAGACAAAATTCCAAAAATATGTTTAATATATTTAGAAAGAATGCTGGTTTTGTTTACCATATTTTTTTTTCTAGTTAAAGGCACAATTAATTAGGGGGAGCTGAATGGGAGCAGTTCTTCATCAGCAATTAATTTGCATAGATAATAGATCTCTGCATCAAAGTGTCACAAATGTGCTTTGCCCTGGGGACAGGGGCATCTCATTTGCTCTGCCCTGGTGGGAATGATTGCAGATGTCAGTGCAAAGGTGCTCAGCTGAAGAACTATTAATTACTGTTTTGTTTTTTTTTAAGTCGAGTGTTTAATTGTTAAAAAACGTTTCAGCTTGCCTTTATGGTATATGCAGAAACTTACAGTTACTGTAATATTTATTTCTTTCTCAGAGATTCCAGAAACTTACCTGCTATCTATCACCATCTTACTTTTCTGTCCCCCAACAACTGAATAGCAGCATTTCACATATGTGCAGTTTTTAGGTGTGTGTCTCAGCAATTCCATCAAAACACTATTAAACATCCAGATTTGCACTGCTCTTTGTCGTATGACAGTTAAGTCTGGGAGTTTGGTTCTGCTAAGTTAATGGAATGTCATTTATGTCATTTTTTGTTGTTAATGTAACATGAAAACATGAGTAGTGAATGGAAATTATCCGCTGATAGTGTTTTAATGTTATGACTTTCTTTTTTAAAGCTTTAAATGTGCCAGTTACCTAATAGCTGTTTGGTATTATCCTTTTAAGCTCTCTCACTGAAAAACACAGGACACTGAAGTAGGAAATTCCTGACAGCTACTGATTACCTACAAAACATATTGATTGAGATAGGAATGTCCCTTTGATTCATATATCAGTCACTGCATCTCTGTGAAGCAAAGCATGTTTTTCAATCTTATGATGCACAGAAAGTCAGTGTAGTTTTGCAATGCTCTGGCTGTACCCAGGGCTTCAATTCACAACTAACAAAAGCCTCATTCCTACTGAGTTTTATTTCAGTCAGCAAGCAGGATGAAGAGAAGAAAATGTACAGACGTGGAACTGGGCTACAAGTCAGGGAATGCATGGCTAGAAAAGCCCACAGTCTTTCAGATTTTCTTTGATTATTATATCTGTGACTGCATCAAAAACAAACCTGACATTCTGGGTGTCTGTGGCACAGGTTAGGTGACAATATATCTCCTTATCTTCTTTCCTTATGTTCAAGTCTAGGAATTGTTTCTTGATATAATTTCCAGCATCTTCAAATGTATTTAGTCCTAGTAGAAACACAGAAGACACATACCATATCTATACTGCCCATCCAAATTTAAATTGCAATTCCTCATTTCTTAAGTGAAATGCTCACAAGTGAGTAAGACACTGTTAAGGACTTTAGAAAGAAAGCAGAAAGTGAGACAAACAGGGGGAGAAAGGATGGACCATAAATTCTGGGAGAATTAGATATATAATTTGCTGCTGTTTGGCAATACTCCATTAGAGCAACTGCAGGTTTAAACACTGGTACTGGGACTCAGTGTAGGTCTAGAGAGGGATGAGACATCTAGGAGCAGGCTGTAGTATGAGGGCCCTGCTGGCTCCCATGTGTCTATGAAGGTAAAGTGACATTGCTCCATTTACTCCAGCACAGTGTTTGATTCTCCCAGTGAAGCAGTGTGCAATTTTGGGTCACTGTACTGATAGATTATCAAAAAAAGAAGTGAAGCAGCTCTTTGTCTGGAAGTCCACACAATCTCTCTTCCATTAATATAAGTTATTGAAGTATGCTTTATTTCAGACAATTCCTATCTGGAATATAGGAGGTTAATACTAAAATACTGGTAGCATTTGTTTTTATTCTGGCACTTTCTGGCATAGCTTCATGTATTCTCTTGCATTAGTTTGGAACAGCTGTCATTCTCTTTTTCCAGTAGATACGATTGTGACATACAAAAAGAGGCAGAATTCCTTTACAGAAATGGTTTTCCAAGTGGGGACAAAAGACCTGGTTGAAATATGTGAGTGATAACCCATTGGCTTCTACTGAAATAAGAATTGTTTTCATTATATAAGTCTTCAGCCATTTGAAACTTCTAGTTGTCTCAGATTCCTCTACTTGCAGTGGAGTGAAATAAGTGTCTCCAGAGACAGCTGACCCCAACCTAAGTACCCTGAGTAGGTGAGATGAATTCCAATGTCTTTCCCTTTCTTGTCTTTTGAGAAAAAAGGCTAGATGTTCAGGCAAGATGTCTAGTCTTTAAATGGCTATCTGTAGGTGATCTGAAGCAAAATCTCAATCATTTGAATGTATTTTCTTCTGAAAACCCCAAACTTACCATTGTATTCAGGAAAGCAGATGTTCAGATGAACTTTTGCTATTTTCTCTTGAAAGAGGTCTTTTTTGTTTAGAAACAGCACGATGGAAGTGGTTGCAAAGCAGCTGTGGTTGCAGATGCTGTTGAACAGCTGAAGGCTTTCATGCATTCTGTTCTGTTGTGATGCAAAAGGTAAACACCAAATCTTAACCCATATGCAATTTTTACTGTAATCTTCACTGACAAGAACCCGTACAGCATAAGAGCCTTTAAATTGTTATAAGGGAACAGGAACAATTCTGATAAGCCATCAGAGAATGCATTAGAACTAAGCAGCAAAAAGGATTGTTTCTTCTGACTCACCACTTCTTTATCTTCCACCAGAACCATGTCATAGGCACTGAGTGCAGCACAGAATATGATGCAGGTCACTCCCTCAAAGCAGTGAATCCACTTTTTTCTCTCTGATCGCTGTCCACCCACATCAAACATCCTGTGCAGAAAAAAAAACCACGTACAATGTGAGGCACTAACTTACAAGGATGTAGTCACACTGCTTATTTGCTGAGTGCAACTAGAGAAGGATGACAATCAAACATCCGTTTTGACAAAATAGATATTTGTTGGTCTATTTCCATCTCAGCAGGAGAATTATGTATTATTTATGGCTTTATATGTAAAGGCTTAAATATCTGCACAAGGCGGACAGATATTCCTCTCTGTTGAGGAAGTTGGACTCTTCACAAAAGCTGAGGGCAGGACTTAGCTCTGCAGGCAAGGATTTTTCAGGACGGAATTCATACATGAAACATTCACAAAAGACTCTTGGAACGATGATCATGTGTTTATAGAATTGCTTGTGTTGAACTGACACGCTCATCAGTAAGGCATATGATTGGAAACCAGACACTGTTTGATCCACCAGTTATGCTTCATTGGCTGGTGTGATTTTGTATTTAGTCATCAATTCATTGTCCTTGTGTGATCATTTAGGTACTGTATAACCAGCAGCCTGTGTTTATGTGTAGAGGTCTCTGCCTTATCCATCTCATTTAGTTCCTGTTTAAGCAGTAAATCATGGGGAACATAAATTTGTTCATTCACAGAGAGCAAAATGCAGAATTGTCCTTCCCTGCATTATTTTACTCCAGCTTTTGCCAGAAATTACTGTCTTTGGGTAGAATCATATAAACCTTTTATGGACTTTTTGTATGGGTTCCAAAACTAACTGAGCAAGTTAACTCAAGCTTCATTATAATAAAGTTTAGTGCCTAATATAGATGGACCTTCTGTCAAAATTTTTATTGTTTTTCTTAGCATTAGATTTCAAAATTACTGCTTATATTTACAGTTTTACAATGATAAGGAATTGGTCTTTCTCTTCACTATTTTTCTCTGTGCAAAATGAGCATTTTTCAAGTGCATTGGCAAGGAAAAACAAGACAAGTCTGATTCCTTGTGTGCATGACGATTTTTCCCTGTTCAGTATGTTGCTGAACTTACTGTTAAACCTAATCCCCTTTTGCATTATCCATTCATTTAAGAAACTGTATTGGGTCTTACACTTTGAATGTATTTCCTGCAGTATCTAAAATCAAACAGAATTCATTTTTTCTAGCAATGAAAATTGATTCAGTAGGAGAAAATCAAGTCAATAGTAATCAGAGAAATTTATTACTTGAAACACTTTTATTTTTTCAACACATCGATCCTCCTTTCTTCACCATCAGCAACACATCTGATCAAAACAAAATTTATTATCATTTTTTCATCCTTAGAAGAAATGAAATCCTTCCCAATTCTAGTGATGAATGACTTGGTTAGCTGAGAAGCAATTTGAGAAAACAGTGTTTTTAGTACATGCCATCTCCGTGATCTTTGTGTGTCTACTAATGTGAATTATTAGGAAATCAGGAAGCTGTTTTGGAACAACCACATATTCCCTGAGTTCAATAGGCTAAACTGAGTGAGATCAACATAAACCATCTTGACTTTTGGTTGTGATCGGTGTCCAAAAGTCAACTGCCACTTTGTGTCTTCCTTGGTTTGTGGTATGCAACTCTGAAATCAGAGACAAAAAAGGGAGAAAAAAAGGGAAAAAAAGAAACTACAAAATTTAATCTTTGGTGAAGTTTTACAAGCATATGTTATCATACAAATATGTACTCTCTTCCTGCAAGCTTTCAGCATGTGGTCCTGTGACTATTCATGAGGAGTCAAATTAAAATAGTAAAAGATCAAGGCCAGAGGCAAAGCTTATGGACAGTTTTTATTGTACTAAGCTTAGCTTGCTTAGTTCTTATCTTGTCACCCCAGAACTTAACATGCTGAAGTCGTGCCATGAGTGGTATATTTCTGATGTTAACATTCTTTTATCAAGATAAGCTAAGATAGTCTTGAAAGCTCTGCATTCTCCTAGCACTACTCATGGAAAATTGAGCCCCTCCAGGTGAGACTAGTTGTGAATTCATTTGTGTCAGCAGTACGTACAGTGAGAGCTGAATAAATAAAATAAAACTTGCCTGATTTCAGTGAGACTCTTCCTAGCTTTTCAATGGACACTAGAGCAGGAGAGGACCTTTGGAGGTCAATCTCCTTTTAAAAATATTTCAGTGTATTCTCGCTTCTGGAAATCAAAGTCAGTTAATGAAAGAAATTAAGATAACAGGAAAGATAAATTATGTTAAAACAACAACATAATGGCTAAGAAGATAGCAAACAAAAAGCCACGTTTCGTGTGGAACTGCAGTACTGTGATATTCAGACTTTTACAGCACAAAGTGTTTTCTGCCTCAATCAGTTCAGAAGAGGGTAAAAACTTCAGTGAATAAGGCATCTGTTCATGATTTCTTTTTATCCATGTTTGGTTTGTGACCCCAAGCTTCTCTGAAGTACTTCAACTAAAACTCATTCTGAGCACTGAAGTGTCCCTCTCTATATAGATGTTTCTATGGTGCTTATCAAACTAAGTGCAGAGTCATCAGGATCTCCCAGCTGTTTCGCATTGCTCTGGCAATGCAAACTAGCTGTAACTGGCTGGTTAAGATGGATTTATTGCTGCTCTGCATCCCTATAGATGAACAAAACTCTCAGATTGTTTTGTAGTGACTTCATATTACTTAAGTCATAAAACCATCAATTAATTTACTTGCATAATACAACTTTGATGCAAAAAAGATGCCAAATACACTCTGTGTGTGTGTTTTCAATGTTATTAGGAATCTCTCCCTTGTTTACAGGCGTTCAGATAGGAATCTTATTTTCAGTTGTGCTAAATTTCATCTGGACCTACACACAATTCTAATATTTTATTCTGACTGGTAGCATTCATCTCATAGAGGGTTTGCAGTCTGATAATTTTATTCTCCATCTTGGTTTAATTTTTTTATTTTACATAAACTGTGGTTGTAACTGTGTAGATGTTCAGATTTCCAGTGTAGAAAGCAGTCTGAAGTACATTAATCAGAGAAAAAAAGAACAGTATGTTTATGAGTAATACTATAGTATTTGGGATTAAGTGCTGCATTAGGAAAAGATTCTTCACTAGAGGGCAGTGGTCATAGAACCAAGAACAAGCTGCCAGAGTTCAAATTGCTTTTGGACGATGCTCTCAGATATAGAGTTTGATTTTTGGTAGTCCTGTGTGAATTTGGTGATTGTTGTAGGTCCCTTCAATTTGGCCTATTCTATGATTTTATGAAGGCAGATTCCAGATGTGACCCATTTATTGGTGATAATAATTTTCTTGTTGTACATCTATTTTTAGGATCTTATTTGTACATGTAATCTGATCTCAGTTTCATCAAAGAGTCTGTGTGATTAAGTTAGATAGTTTGGGAGATGTTTAATTGGCACAAGGGAAAAAGTACGCCCTCTGAAAAATGTAAAAAATATAATCCTGATACTTCCTGCAACTGTCTCTATAGACATTTTCTTGTCTAGTCTATGTTCCTTAATGCACACTGTGGCCTTTAAACTAAGAATTAAATGGAATTTGATCCATAGAGAAAAGTGGGGCTGGGCTATAGAACAATTCAAATATATTTTAACATGAAATTATGTTTTTAGTTTGTTCACCAAGAGTAATTAAATCTTGAGTATCTGAAGATGTCAGTTTTTTTCAGTCAAATTTCTTAGAGACATTAATTTTGAGGATTTTTTTTTTCCTGAATGTTTTGCTTTTCACCTTAAAAGAGAATGACGGCATGCATGGTAATACATAATTATCCATGGGACATTATTTTTTTTTGCCAGCAGTAATGTATTCCACTGTTAAGAGCAGTTATTTCTGTTCCCAAATGAGGAGAGTGAAAGGTTGAGAATGCATGCAGATTAGTAGTCATCAAATGTTTTGCATGCTGTTAAGGACTTTTAGTTAGGCAAATTTCATAAATGTCACAAGCAATTATTCAAATAGCAGAATACAAACAATGCTTTGAAAACACTTACATATGTAAAATGTCCTTTTAGAACCTGATATTCTGAGGTCTCCTAATAACAGTCCATTATATACTTAAAGTTGGAGTGCTGATATTAAAATATCTTCTTTGGCACATACAAAAAGAAGATTCAAGAATATAACAACTGGATTAGTAGTAATATAATCAATGACTTTGAATGAAAAATACCTCAAAAAGGTAAAACCACACAAGCCTGACAAATGCATCTTTTGTACCTGAAGTTCAAGTCCTTGAAGGAAAACTGAGTCTCAATAATCCCAGTTGTTTTCACTCGGGAGTGCAAAACATCTTGCTCACTAGGCACGTAGTCAGGCATTGCTAGCCTATCCAAATCATTGAGATAACTAAGGAGAGTAAAAAGAAATGGTGATTGGTGAATTCAAAGGGTAAACCAAGCACGACATATTCACTAGTCCATTCATATTGAACTCCTAAATATTTTCTGTAAATTACATGCTTAAATACTTTTGTTTTTTATATAATCTTTATCCACAATCTAGATTTTAAAAATATTACATATATTAAATGTCATTAATTTAGTTATATATAGTAAATATCTTTCTGAGAATTGAAGGTCAAGGAAATCCATGTTTTTCTCTGGGATGCTAAAAAATACCCTGTCAGGAAAGGGATGTTGTCCATTTCACTTCAGTAAATGGAAATTAGAACCACGGGGGAAGAACTAGACTGACTAGAAATAATGTAGCATATCAAACCATTCTCTTGTAATGCTATCTTCCTTCCCAAGTAAAAGAGAAGGCAGAAGAGTTTGGAGTAATTCACAGTTGGGGGCCAGTTTCCACCTAGTTAGGGGTCTGTTTGACAAGTTTACAAGAGGAGGGTGCATGACATTTAAAAATAAATATTTTGTAATAAAAAACAGACGTTTCAACTAAGCTGAGAACCCATGAGGTTAACAGTCTCAAAGCTAGCTGGAAAAGAGTGGATTATCTAGTTCTGTGTCTAGCATACAGAGATAAAATCTGCATGAAATGAGAATCTGAACCAGATCTTTGAAGCCAGTTCTTGGCCTTCCCCCAGCCTTTCTCCTTTCTCTTCCAATGAGAAGAAACTTCTTACAAATGGCCGAATGGAGTCTATAAATCTTACTGACTGATCTAGGAAGCAATGCAAGGTAGTTTTTATTCAACAAAAGGAAAAAAAGAGGTGATATGTGAGTAGTTTTTTGACTACTAATCTTTCTAGCTACTGACACTCAAATAATGAAGTAAAATAAAAGCAAGAAACCACATAACAGTTGAAACACTTTAAAGCTCTTACACTGTCTCACTTGGCACCTTTCTTTCTGTAGTGTGTATTTTATCTCTGGAAAAGAAAACACAGACTCTCTAATGTTTCTTAGTGTTCATAATTTTTTTTTTCTGCTGCAGTAAAGTCTGCTCAGCATGAAGCTTTGCTGTTTATCTTAACCAGAAAACTACCAAAACAAAACTCATAGCTTGTCATTATTGTCTGCAATATTAATACATTTGTAAGTAAAAGCAAAAGCAAAGCCACTTCTGTATATATATTTATTGTAAAGATATGGTGGTGCATGGTTATAAAGACCATAAAATTCAGCTGATCCAAGTGCAATTGCAAGTTAATTATCTAATTAATAGAGCAAGAGATATCTTTGGATTCTTCCCACTATTGTAAATAGCCCCAGGAGGGCACCAATGGCAGAATGGAGAGCTGGCCAGTAGATTAGTCCAAATGCCAAATCAGGCTCACATTAGCACAATGTTTTCTGTGTATGGGTGCCTTGCTGAAATGATCTGAAGATAAGAATACCAGAGATTTTTTTTTTCATGATATATCCCTGGTCTTATCTAAAATTGACGAGTTATTACTGACGAGAATCTGACCATGCCTTTTTCTGCCAGGTGGAAGTAGCACCTCAAGCAGTTTCCTTGTGCAGGTACCTTTATCCAGCAGGAGGAGCTGCGGGAGCAGCAAAGGCTCAAGCTGCAGCTCTTGGAACGGACCTGAGCTGGAACAGCACTCTTCTTCAGGCCCAGGGGCAGATTTCTGCACTCCAGAACAATCTTTTGACAGTCATCTGACGATCACTGTGCAATCATCTGTGCAGTCGTCTAAGTGCATAGAGGATTGCTGATCCCCAGCTGGATCCTGACCCTCCATGAAATCGGAGCTGAACAGGGCTAGTCTCTGTTTATGTGCCTGCCACCCCCCAGGTCTCAGAAAGCAAACGAGCCATCAGGCATCACAGACCAAGATGGATGCTGAGATACTAACAGTCCAGGGACCACCAGGGCATGCAGCCAGATTCCTTTAAAGGAAACTTATGGTTTTTGCTGGACTTATGTTTAACTGCTTGAAATCTTGAATGTATTGAAGTGCAGCTTCAGGTAAAACCTAGGCTGTTTCAATTCACTTTGTCCTTCATTTTGTCAATTTTAGAATTACCCAGGGGCAACAGGCATTTTTAAAAACAAAAAGTTAAGAAGACTCACAGAATTGAGCTATTTAGTTCTGCTTGCTTTCCTCGGTTGAATGTCTCAGATACATTATTGACATTATAGCAGGAGCAGCAAAAGCCTCATTCTTTCTCAGGTTAATGAGCAATAATTTTCATAGATTACGCTTGTGAAAAGCTCTAACTGCAGGGACCCCGTACTGTTGCAGTAAGAGCCAGGTGCCCAGCACCCTCAGGTTGTGTCACTTACTAGGCTGCTGAGTCATTGAGCTCGTACTCTGATGCCCTTGCAAAGCATGCCTGGATCCCACCGTCTTTCCACAGTTGCTGGATGAGTTCAACCAACTCAGAAGACATGTTGCTATCATCCAGATTTGTTTCCATGTCACGGAGTTTCCTTTCATCTTCCTAAGAAGAAATTTCAGTGAACATTCTGCAGACATACTGTACTATCTTTCTGGGTGTGCTTGGTTTACAAGGAATTGCAGTGTCAGGAATTTCTCTTTTTTTTCCCCATGTAACACTTATGCATCCTTTTACAAGTTCACTTTCCATTAGTTAGTGCAAAACTTATACTCAGATTGTTTTATGGAATTTTTTGCTTTTTACTGTTTTCTTTCATTCCTACATGGGCTCAGTTTCATCTCTCTGTAGGTGTTCTCAGAAGGTCCAATTTTGAAGGAAGGCTTTTATTTTAAGACAGAAAAGCAAATCAGCTAAAATTCAGTGTAAAAGAGTAAGCATATTATGTGACTATATTAGGACAGAAATATATAGTAAATATAATTATAAATATATTTGGGAGAAAAAATTTCTAGTTCTAAAACGCGATGAGAAAGGAGGCAAAGGAAGTATATTTTTCCCTAGGAGAAGAAGAAACCTGAAAAATTCCAAATATTTTGTATGTATTTTCTAAATTCTTCCTTTTGCAGTCATTCCAAAAAGTCTTCATGCAATCTGTTACATTAAAAACATTTCTTTTCAGTAATGAATGCACTAAAAATAATAATAATAAAAAGAGTAAAATAGAGTTAAGCAGCGGGCAATTATAGACCATAATTCCTTCCAAGCTGTAGACAACTGAAGCAACTTGCAGTCAACAATTGCAAAAGTAAATATGAATTCTGACAGACCCTATTTTGTCAGGGAGTATGTTTTATTCAAAGGTGGAAAACATCTTCACAGTAATTTATAACAAATTATTTTAGGGATGTGACATATTTTTTACATTTCACTAGAAGTTGCAGTCTGTAGAAATGTTGTGAAAATCAGAGACTGATCAAAAGAAAAAGATAGCAGGTTTTATAAAATAGTGGTAAAATTAAGACAACATGCAGATATAATATAACATGCCCCATATAACATCCCCCCTGGAGGCATTCGAGGCCAGGCTGGATGTGGCTCTGGGCAGCCTGCTCTGGTGGTTGGTGACCCTGCACATAGCAGGGGGGTTGAAACTAAATGATCATTGTGGTCCTTTTCAACCCAGGCCATCTATGATTCTATGATTTTATGATTCTACGATATAATGTGGAAAAATAGAAAGTTTTGTTTAAAAGAAAAAAAGAGAACAGTACGATTGTCCTTGTGCGTTCAAAAACCCCACAAACAGCTCCATTCTACAGCCCCATCCTACAGGTCAGTGCTGTGATCAGCAGACCTGACTCATCATTTCTTGTGTATGCAGCTTCATTTGTCTTCAGGGGCTGCTGTCTGGAGTGCACACATGTTCAGCTTCAAGATAAGAATTGCCAAGTTCTTAACTTGGTGTTCTTACCTTGATGTTATCACATATCATTTAATGTTTATAACTGTTCTCCTGCAGTGCTGAAACTGTTGGTTCAGTAATGTATAATGAGAAGCCTTGAGCTCATTGGTTATTATGCAAAAGGTGGCAACAGTGGATTTTTTCTTGTCAAAAAGGAAGATAGCAGCAAACCGAGTCTATCATAGCCCTGGCTTATGTAATGTGTAGTTTGCCTTTGCTACTTTGTCTCTGCACTGCTTTCAGCGCTGCAGATAAGCTCAGTCAGTGCCTTAGTGACTTTGGCCAGGTAATTCTTAGCCAGAACTCAGCAAGAACAAAGTTCAACAGAAATCAAGCTTCATATCTAAACGGTTCAAACTTATGTATGTGTAACGATTTCACAGAAGAAGCAAGCTAGTTTTGCATTTGGAAGAAGGGATAATGTTTAGTAAATGTGAGTGAAACTTCCAGAATCTTTAAAACTTAGAGCCAGATTGCTCTTTTGTGATTCTGGGAGAATAGAAACAAGGCACTGCAAATGCCTTATACAGATGTAGTCGACTAAAGGCCTGTTCTGCCAATGACAGTGAAAATAAGGATGTACTTACTGTGCTGTAAGTGATACACTCACAATATCTGTATTTTCTGCATTTGGTTTGTATGATGCTAAGAAATAAACTGTGCCTATTTAACAAAAATTAAAAAGAATTTAAAAAATCAATTATTGGTTCTCCAGTCTGTGAAAACCCTTGGAAATAATTTCTGTGAAGTTAGCATAGATTTTTGGAAGAAGCTTTATGGGATCTTGCAGTGATCCTTCTAACTTCAATTTTGTTAAAATAAATGCATGCAAAGGAAAAAAAAAAAAAAGTTTTATATCTCTTTTGCACAGGAGTAATCCACAAATGAGCATTTGTCAAACTAGCTTTGGGCTTTCATATTTTAATTTTCTTGTTGAAAATTGAATCTTTATGTTGCTGCTTACAGCGTGGATTGCAGTAGTCTCCTAGGAGCAAGCAGTGGATACCTGGTGTATGTTAATTTCTGAGAAGCTGCTCAATGATCAACTCATGAAACAGTGACTTCTCCATCAGGGAACAAGTAATTCTGGGAAATTCTCAACTTGGATACAGGACAAAAAGCTTTATAGTTTAATAATAAATAGTTAATAATAATATCTGTAACTAGCTATTTCTTCCGTGAGAAGAAAACCCTGGAAAAAAAGGACGAAGTAAGGGAGGTCCAGACAGCCCTAAGGACATTCATCAAACTTGTCTAATATGGACAAAAGTTAAGTAAAGTACATATTCAAAATTTTCTTCTTTTCTATCACTTATGTCTTGATATAGTTTAGACACACTGTTTTTGAACAGCCAGCATGGATTTACCAAGACCAAAGTTAACATAACTAACTTGTTTGCCTTCTACAGTAAAATTTGGTTTGTGAATAAAAGCAGAAGCAGAGTATGTTGCATATCCTCTTTGACATCTTTGCTCATAATGCTCTTATAATCACATTGAGCTGAAGAAATTATCAAGAAGGTTGGTAAAAAATTTATTAGATCATCCTTCCTGCATTTGGGGCCCCAGGCTTGGACACAGTAGTCCATCTGGAGCCTCACAAGGGCAGAATAGGGGGGGACAGTCACTTCCCCTGTACTGCTGGCCACCCCTCTTCCAATGGAATCCAGGATACCATTGAGGGCTGCAAGTCAGAAGAATGATGAGTGAACATGTATGAACTTCCCAGAAAGTTTGGTATAAATAGGGAAAGAGGCTGAATTATGCAACATGGACAGAACTTATCTCAAGTTTAGATTTTAGATATAGGTTTTTTAAGGTTGGTCTGACTAAGGCCATGTAGACTGGCAGATGCATCCTCATGCAGTGCCTATTACGTGTGTCTGTTACAATGGAGACTGGGCCATACTGAAGCATATTCACATGGGCCTATATTCTGTATGGTGGTTTAGGGCACTTTTACATTTGTTTGCATGGTTTGTGAACATGAACTCTTAAAAGAATAAAAGAAGAAAGCATATATTTTTTTAATTTTTGTCAAATGATCGTACATCCCTTAGTAACCACTGAATCATTTGTTTATCAGTTTTTAGGTCAAACTACCATATGTCATTATAAAGAGATACAGGCTTCTGGAACAAGGAGAGCTCCTTTCAGATAAGCAGATGTAATTCCCTCTAAGATGAATCGTTTGGGAATGTGCAGAATTTTCTGAAATTGGAACCAGTTGATATTCTGACAGACTTTGGAGAAATTCTCAGCAAGATCTGAATTTCTAACATCATACTAATCATTGCACTAGGAAGAAAAGTATGTATTTTCCTTTTAGCTCTTTCCCTGAAAATTTTGCAAGATTGACAGAAGACTGCAGGTCTTCTTACTGTAAATAAGCGGGCATTGTCAGCTTGTAAGAATCCTTCTTTGTTTTTTTTGGCTCAAAGCTTGCTTCCTGAGGTATTTCTTGTGATAAGACTGACTTGTCTAGAAGATGAGTGATGGGTGTTGTTGTGTGGCAATCAACATCACTGTGTGGACAATTTTAGCTGTTTGCCTTCGGAAGACAGTGCTCAGGAGGAAGACAGTTTACTGGTGGAAGATCTAGCCTGTGATCGAATAACTCCAGTTAGTTACGGGAGGCTGGGGGACGATGCCATTGTATCCTGTGAAGGCAAGATACAAGTTGGTGCCTCCCTGCTCTCTCTTATCTTCTGGCAAGGCCAAGAAGATAGGAACAAAGGAGTTTCCTGCTGAGATCCCAGAGCCAGAAGCTGCCACTCCAAGAAGAGCTGAGTCAACCACCTTGGGTTTGAGCTGTCACTCAAAAGACGGCTGACTCGACCACTTTGAAACCATTGAAAAGGGGCCATCATCACCATGGTCACCATCGTGGTTGCCGTTGTCGTCATCACCGTCAACAGAACAACTCTGCCCGATGACCCACCACTACTGAAGATCAAAGACTGAACTATGAACCACGCTGGATCCACAGTGGTGACTATGTCCCTCTTGCTTCCTATAAAGACTCCTTGCTTCTTCTTTTCTATCTTTTCTATCACCCTCTTCCCCTTCCCCATTGCCCTAATTCATAATAGTGTCTGTCCTCCCCTTCCCATCTCCCTAATTAAGATCTGTAATAAACTGGTCAGGCCAACATTTCAACTGTCATTTCTTAATCTCACGCTGGGTATACAGATATTAAAAGAACCTCTCTCTCCTATTAATTGGAGCGCGACACAGTTTACTTGCCAAAAGAAGCCCAAAGTTGTATGATTTGGAACCAATGTACTGGACGGAAGTATGGTATTGCTAGCCTTTGCTGGAGGGCACAAAAGTGGGAACTGAGTTTCCGCATTTTTTTGTCTCTCTAATCAAATTTCTGATCAAAACTACTTCCATGAATCCTATTTAAAGTCTCCTCATAAAGTCTACAAGGCGCTGAAATCAGTGTTACAGGCTCCATTAAAGAAGTTGGACAATCTGGAATGTTTTGTTTTTTCTCAGTGTTCTTGTGTACAGTACTGCAAAACACACCAGGAAAGTCAAACTCCACTTCTCTGCAGTGTCAATGTGTAAGCATTTCTTCTGTACACTGTGGAGGTCCCTGCCCCAGGAACAAGACAAAACTGAAGTATTCCCAACAATCTACATGACATTTCCTTATGTGTTTGAGCCCCAGATTTCATTCTTAAAAGGGAAATACTTATTACAATTCCCAATATCAACAAATAAGTGCCTAAAGAGACAAGAAAAGAATTTTTTTTTCTTATGTATTTTAATGTAAGGAAATCTTGTTGAATCCTAACACAAACAGTATTTAGTTTTCCCTACTGTAAAGCAGATACTCACCTCTCTTGCTTTATTGTCATATTACAATAAAATGAACAATGAACTCTTTTTCTTTATTCTATTAGAATCTCCTGTTATTTCAAAAGAATGTATTTTAATACCTACTTAAAGACAAAGAACTTCATACTCACAATTCTAGCTGGGTTTTCATAACTGATCCCTAACTTAGTCATTGCTTTCACGATAGACAGGATAGACTGCACTGTGTTACTGTAAATGATAGGCCGGAACTCCATGCGTTCTTGGTATGTGAAACCATCTTTATGGATGATCCTGGAGTAAAAACAAACAAAAAAGTGTACAGGTAAAAAGGAAACGCGAGAAAAGTTGGATCAATTTTTGTTTTGTTTTGTATGAAAAAGAACTGAATCCGTCTGGCTCATGGAGTAGCATTTATCAGTAGTTAATTGCCTATTCTGGTGGAATGGATTAACAGTGGTTTCTGTAATGACACAAAGCTTGGTTTTAACTTCCCAGTTTTAGTGAATAGGTAACCTATGACTCAAAGTAATGCTGTATGCCTCCAGTACAGATCCCCAGCCCACTCCTATGGATTCAAAGGTGCATAGCTGGAGTTAGATCTCAAATATTTTACTATTAGAATCTGCAGTATTAGACTTGGGCTTTTACATTTTTTGTTTAGTCACTACTGTTTTTAACTCAAATCTCACCTGAGCGGGAAAAGAAATGTAACTAAATTTCTGCACTGCAAGACACTTCTCAAGAAAAAAAAAACACGCGTATTTCTCCATGTGTTGATTACAACTTCCAGTTCATGAAATATATTAATATTATTATCTATAATATCTTTGGGAAGATAGGTATTATTCAGGAGAATTTGCCCTATGTTGTAAAGGTCAAGGAACTTTAGCTGTCAAATTCAGTTCTTCAATTAATATGATTCTGAAAGAGGGAGTGTAATTTCATAATGTTCCCTGACTGAACGATGGTGTGGGGTTAAAATTCTCCAAGATCAGTGTGCAGATTGTGTCTTGATGGAAAAAAAAATAAAATTGGTTCACTTGGAGGAGTTTGATACAGCTCGATGGTGGTGTAGTGGATTGGGGATGGCCTAAGCCATGACCTGTGTACAAAGCACCATGTAGCCCAGAGATCCCCACTGCTGTATCTGGCCTCCTTTAATGAGTCAGATCACCTTAAAATCAAAATTCTTTGAACTCTCATCAGAAAATACAGAACATTGTATTTAAGCATATTTTCTCCACCTTTCCACTTGCTACCTGTGAAAGTAGGTGTTTTTCTATAACAAAATATAAAGCAGCTGAAACTTGAAGCACATGAGCTTGGTTTGACTGCTTTGAGCCTCTCACAGTAGTGCCCAGAACAGGATGTGTGGGGAAGATGAGTGTTTTGCCTGGGGCTGCAAAAATCCAGGATAAGAGTGAAGGCAAGACCTTAATGCAGACTCCAAATGACTATTTTATATGTTGTTTTCATGCTTTCCTTTGAAGAACAAAGAGAGGAAGAACATTTAAGATCTTGAAATAAAACAAGAATATATAATTACAGAACAAAACCTTGTTTTTGCTGAAGGCTTTTTATGTGCTATTTTTTTTCAATGTATATGTATTTATGTCCTCTGGAAGAAGATATGTTAGCCAGCCTTTTAAATCAGTGGTGAATTTTGCTGCTTTTATTAAACATCCATCATTCTTGTGTCATCTTGTTGTCACCTTGTTTTAAAATCCTTTCTTAAGAATGATATATGTATAGCCAGAAAAAGCTTTCTATCAAACAGAAGATCTTCCTTGGATAAAATAAACAACCTATGAAAATTACATGCAGGATGCTGAATCTGTGAAGTGTTTTTTTCTAGTCATAATATCTAGATTATGTGCCTATGGGAAGAAAGATTTCAATCTCCACATTTTAATTATTATTATTTTCACACAAGGTGGATCTCTTACCAGATAGGTGGCATTGGTTCAGTCTCAGTGGGCTTGATGAGTTACCAGATAATTTTTTTTCTTTTTGTTTACTGGACTGTTATAGTTCTGAGACTTACAAAATAGATTTGCATTGAAAATCCAAGGCACAGAAATACACAATTTGGTTTTAAACAAGTTATCTCACACATTGGAAATGTGAGAGTCAGAAATGAGGAGGTCCAGAAGAGCATTTTTATTTCTCTTTTTAGTTTTGCTTCATAACCATCCTAGCTTTTTGAGGGAGCTTGTAACACATTTATATTCAGAGCATCAGAAGATACTGTGCAAAGCTAAGTGGAATGTTTTAACTTTGATTGAAATTTTCACTCTGGGAAGAATGAGGTTTAGGAATTAGAAAATTATATTAATAGGGGTAAAATAAATCTAATTTTGGTGTGAATTTGTGTTTTCAGCAAAATGACTCCCTGTGTAAGTATTTATCAGTCTTCTCTAGAAAATGTTATACTTAACCAAAAAATCAACTTTTCTTAAACTGTAAATTTTCCCTTTTTAGGAAAAAAAAATTGGTTATGACAGAAAGTTAACATTTTGTGTGAAAAGGGATAATTTTCATCAACATTTTAATTGGAAAATAGTTCATATTTGGGCTCAGATTGGCAGCTCATATATGTGCAAGTCTTCAAGTAACTTAGCTTTGTCATTTTCTGACCTCTCTTTGGAGCTGTTTAGGGTTATCTGCTTTATTAAAATGCTCAGGTCAGAGGAACATCTTCAATCCTCTCCTAGTTTGTGAAGTTTTCAGCCCAATACATTTCAATGGTTTATTGCATAGTAAGTGTTTCCTAACTGCAACACTAAACAAAAATGAAGTCATCCACCACTGAACTGGAACAAAAAATAATTAGGCAACTACTGAATGCATGGTATTAAATCAGTCCAATTAGAAAATGAGGTGCTTAAGTAGTAGCAAATTGGTTTTATGGTATAACAGTTTTCACTCCACTTTTTAAAATATGTTGGTGAAGATGCAGAATGCTGAGGAAGATGAAGCATTTAGGAAAACTTAAAGTAGAAATAATATTTCTGATTTAGTGAAACATTTTTTTTTCTTACACAGGAAGAGAGTGGAGTCATGACTTAATGGTTACTATGCCTGTAATTTTTTCCTGTACAAGGGCTGCTCTGAAAGTAATGCCTCCTATTTTATGGTGTTGGCTCATGATGTCAAAGGCAAATGTTGGTGGTAGAGTATAGAGGTTGAATCTTTCCACCAGTATTTTTTTGCAGTTTTTTGCTGGGTAACACATGACAGCAGAGGGGCAGTCTGACAAAATGGCATCTGACATGAAAGTATGTATGAAGAAAAGTAGTGAATTCCTCCATGTGGAAAAAATAGCACTCACTGACATTCATTGATATTTGCTGAATATTTATGGAGAAATAACACTACTGACTTCAATCTGTGTGGCATCATGTACATGTTGAACACATTTCTACCACAAATATTCTTGCACAGTCACCAATTCTTCCATACCAGTTAATCCAAATTTGAACAGTGATTTCTGTATTTGGGCTTGTACGGTCTATTCCCTTTTGATTATAGTATGATTACCCTGTCATACAGCTCACTGTATGGGTTGACAACTAAATATTTTCTCATCTAAACTGTGGAAGACCTGAGAACAATCATTCTGGCCACTGGCAGGATCTAGAATAATAACATGGAAACCAACAGTGTTCTATGGAATTCAGTTTGGAAAAACAATGATGGAGCACTATTTTTATATAATGTGAATGCTTCAATATTTTCATTTGATATACAGTGAAATAAAATGAAATTAATAAGGACTAAATTAAAATTGAGCAAAGGGAGATGATTGACATCGTGAAATTAAACTGTGGAACTACTTGCCATTGAATAATGCACACATTTACATTGGTTCAAAGAGATTCAGGAGAAACCAGATATGAAGTAACTGAAGGCTTTTAAACACAATGATACCATCTCTGGTTCTCTGCTTCAGGATGCTGCCTGACTCACAGATCACCAGATACCAGCAGGATATTTAGTGAAAGTATTACAATGTGCTTCCATGTTTGGTTTGTTCTGGAAACATCCTCCAATAGATACTGGAGAAGATGGGATAGTAGGTTAGGTGGATCTGTTATGGCCCATTGTTTTATATCTCTGTGATCTGTAACTCCTACCAAAGACAATTTTGAAGCTTCCCTGCTCTTCAGCAAGAAGATGTGCATGATTTGAGCAGATTTGATTACCAGTCCAGCTGTGTGCCTTAGTCACTTTGTGTTGTTGAATAAAAACTTGATTTTAATGATGTTTCTTTGCATATTATTCAAATAAGCATAAATATTGTATTAAGGCATTAGCTAGATGACTTATGCTACAAATAACAATTTCAACAACTGATATGAATATTCATGTACTTACTTCATTTGCTTTACAATAGTGCTCTTTCCTGACTCTCCAGCACCTGCAGAAAGGGAGTATTAAGATGTGATTGATACATAAATAAGTAGCAAATATTAAAAATACCACTCTGGAACAGAATTTTGTATCTATGAGAAGCGATACAGATGTTCCAGATCCTCATTGCACTAACTATAACCCTCTCCAGCAATTTAAAAAGATGAAATCTTGGACAAAGTATTAATTCTGAAAAAGGAAAGGAATTCTTTAAAAAGAAAGGAACATGCAGTCAATTAAAGCAAAAACATGGTCTCTTCAATTGTTAAAGAAATAAAGTAAGGATTTTATTTTGATTGTGTGACCATCAGTTGGGTATATGGGCAAAAAGAGATGGAAAAAGCTCCAGCTCCTGAGTGTTGTTCATTACATGATTCGTAGCTTCTCATCTAATGTGTTTCATGACTTTTATAAGCCAAACCCTCCAGTGTGTTTGAACAACTGGAAAAGTGGAGTATCTGCGCGGTTTATGTCATGATGCAGAGGAAGCACATGAGCAAATATCTTGATAGTGCTACATTGACTCTGTCCCATGTTCTACTGCTTTGAGAGGGAAACCTACCATGTAGCCATGTGCCATGTCGCAGACACAGCTTGGGAATGGTTCCGCAATAAAATTCTGCAGGCTCTTGGTTGCACAGACATTTTTCAGAAGTGGAGTTAACTTTTGGTTAGAGCACTCTGATGAATTTGGCCTTCTCATCTCATGCAAAGTTGGTAATTGCAATAGAAACCTTTCCACTGGAAATTAGTGTGAGTTTAACTAATTTTAATTTCTGTCAGTGAGATTGGAGAGGAACAGGACTTGACTACACCTGCCAAACAAGGGCTATATTTTAAAAGCACTTGAAGAGAGGATTTAATTTTGCATATGAATCCTTGGAACAAGAATCATCATTGCCTTTTTTCAGGTTATCATTTACTTCATTGGACAGCGTTGAATACTTTTGACAAAAGAGAAAACCTGAGACATAATGACTGAAATTAGGGGCTCCTCAATGAATGGAAAAAGCAAGATATTTTCCCAAACAGATTTTGTAAATCTAACAACATTTAAATGACAGAGATTAATTTACTCAATTAATTTACTCAAGACAGCAAATCATACGCAAAACATTTTCTAATGCCCACAATTGGAACAGCAGAAAATGTGAGACAAAAACATCAAGCCTATGCAAAATGATCTGATGCTGCCATCTGCCACAGTTTGAACAAAATGCAAATTTGCTATGGATCTTTTTTTATGTCCTCAATTCCTCTCTGAAGAACCTGGTAAAAACCTATTGGTGAGACAGCATTTGCAGCACTTTCTGTAGAGAAACAAACAAGCAGTTGTAGGAATTCCTACATTCATTTCATGGAAAGATCACAGAATCACAGAATTGTAGGGGCTGGAGGGGACCTCCAGAGATCATTGAATCCAACGCCCTGCAAAGCAGGACCCATGCAGCAGTCTGCACAGGTAGCTGTGCAGGCGGCCTTGAATATCTCCAGAGAAGGAGAATCCTCAGCTTCCCTGGGGCAGCCTGTTCCAGTGCTCTGTCACCCTTACTGTGAAGAAGTTCCTTTGCATATTGGTGTCAGGAAGCATAACATAGAAATGAAGCTCTCTGCCAGATCTGGAAGACAACGGTAAAATATAGTAGGCAGTAATAATTTGTATCTTATGGAAGCATTTCTTTACCTCTGTTCATCTCTAATTTCATTAGAGTGGTTGGGATTTGAAGGGGCCTTGGAGACCATGAAGTTCCAACTCCCTGTTGTAGGTAGGGACACCTCCCTCTAAACCAAGTTGATCACAGCCCCATCCATCCTGGCCTTGAATGCTCCCAGTAAGGAGGCATCTACAACTTCAGTGGACAATCTGTTATGGTGTCTCTCACCAACCTCACATTAAACAATTTCTTCCTAATATCAAGTCTAAATCTACCCTCTTTCAGCTTAAAACCATTTCACCTTGTCCTATTGCTACCTACCCTTATAAAAAGTCCCTCCCCAGTTTTCTCGTAGGCCCCTTCAGGTTCTGGAAAGCTGCTATACGTTCTTCTCGGAGCCCCAGGCAAAGACAGAGCCCCTCATAAGGGAGGTGCTCTAGCCCTCTGAAACAACAAATGACCCTCAGACATTGGCTTTTCTCTGGAGTGTTCTTTCATTGTAGCAGCATTTGTACCCCAGGAGATGGGCCAGAAACAATTCACTTTGCACCTGCTTCCTCTCTTGCTTCCCCTTCCTGTACAGCGGGCTCCTCAGGATGGGAGTGCAGGGCCAAAGCTGCATTTCAATGCTCTGCAGAATCTTCTGCTCATGCAAACAACAGAAAAAACATTGGGTAGCCCCTGCAAGACTGCAGGGGGAGCTGAGGGTTGCTTTCCTTTAGGAAGTGGTGTAGAGAGAAATTGTAATCTAGCCCAAATTTTCTACATAACATAGTAGGCCTTAGGCTGAAATCAGTCTTGTCTTAAAGCTTGGAAAGTTTAACTGGCTTTTGAATAACAATCTGCTAAGATCTGTGAAGGTATCTGCCTGATGGGGACAAGTAACATGCCATTGCATGTATTTTGCATTTCACATGCAGTTGATTTCAAATTTATCTTTGATTTCTGTATCTCAATTTGGATTCCAGATTTCCTGGAAATGAATAAAAATATGGAAAATAAAGGCAGAAATATCTCAGTCAATGCCTGAAATTCTTGCTGTGCTCTTGGGAGTCAAAAGATATTCGCTGTGACTTGGTGTGTGCTGCATCCTCTTTCACTGTTCTTAACAAACAGACTGGCAGCCTGTAACTGCCTCTCTTCTTGGCTGGGATGTTTTGAACTCAACCTCCCAAGTTCAATGCTGATCTGTGCTTCTGGACTCACTGTGGCTTCAGGGAAGACTGAAAAACGTGCATTGTGGTATGGCTGAAAGCATGGAGCTGCTGCAGAACCTCACCCGGCAGCGTGACATGATTTTTCCTTTGCTCCAGGAAGTCTCAGCCTCTACACTGCACAGAAGTATACAGATAGATCAGGAATAGAGAAAAAAAAAAAAAAAAAAGGAGGTGCCTTGAAAGTCAAGGATACTTGCCTGAATTCAAAGTAGAGATAAAACCAAGACGTCAGCTGCATCCTGACTCCCTCTACTTTCCTATGCAGAATCACAGACTGGTCAAGGTGTGAAGGACCTCTGGGTCCATCTGCTACAGCCTCTGCCCAAGCAGGGACACTCAGAGCAAGGTGCCTCCATGTCCTGAAGACTTGTGGAGGTCTCTGAGGAGATGACTCCACATCTGCCTCTGGGCAGCTGTTGCGGTGCTCTGTCTGCACAGTAATGATATACTTCCTGGAGTTCAGATAGAATGTTCTTACAGTTTCTGCCTATTGCCTCTTGTCCCATCACTGGGCACCACTGAAAAGAACCTGGTTCTGTCCTTCAGATATTTATGGACATTGATGAGATTCCTTTGAGTTTCCTCCAGGCTGCAAAGTCCTAGATAGCTTCCTCAGACTTTTCTCACAGGAGAAGTTCTCCAGTCCCTTTGTCATCTCATTGGTGCTACAATGGATTCTTTCCAGTATGCCCATGTCTCTTTTGCACTGGAAAGCCTCAACCTGCTTCCAGTACTCTGCCTAATGAAGTCCAGGATATGTTTAGTTTTCTTGGCAGATAGAGTGCACTGCTGGCTCATGTCCAACTTGGTATCCACCAGCACCTCCAGGTCTTTTTCTGCAGAGCTGCTTTCCATCTCATGTCCCCAGCATGTCTTGGTGCACAAAGTTGTTTGTCCTCAGATGCAGGACTTTACACTTCTTGTTCACAAACTTTGTGAGGTTCCTATCAACACATTTATTCAGCATGTCACCGTCCCTCTGGATGATAGTACAATCCTCTGTCATATCAGCCACTTCTCTTGTTTTTTGTGTCATAAAAAAATTGCTGAGGGTACAGTCTGTGCCATTGCACAGATCATTAACGACTATGCTTTGTTTGAATATTTGTGGATGCCATGGAGAGTAACAAATCCCTTTCAAGATTAATGTCTACTGAACCGTTGAAGAAGTTTTTTTTTTTTTTTTTTTTTTTTTTTTTTTTAATATATTGTGCTTCTTTTCTGTATCAAAAGAAATAGCTGTTATCTCTTTACAGTTATTATTTATATGATAATAAAGGTTTGGTTTAGGAAATTTTCCAGAAGGAAAAGTAAGAAAATAAAAAGTACTACTGCCTGAATATTTTGTTTGAAATTTGTTACGGAAGCCACTGACTTTCATGTGAAATGGCAAAAAATGGAGAAAGAAAATTGTCAAATTAAGATCAGAACATGTGTCTCACCTCTGCCTGAGACTTACCTGTGGTGCTTAAAGCTCTCAAAATCACAGCTTTCTGATCCTCTTACCAAACTGAGCAAATTTATGCACAGAAGGAAACTGGTAAAGAGATCTAAGTTCTCAATTAGCCCTCTTCTCTCTTGGTGGTATAAAGTTCTTAAATGTCTTCCCCACTCATCTCCCCAAAAGTAAAAAAATAAATAAACTATTGTCTTCCAGTCAACAGGATTATTGTTCTCAAAGTCTTTGCTTTCAGAACAGATACTGATAGCAGCAATTTTAACCTGTCCCCAGAACTATGGTAATTGTGAAGGATTTGATTCATTTTAACTGTCCACACTTTGAAACTCTGTATTCAGACCCACTATCAGAGATCTGTATTCAATGGAGGCAAATATTTGTGTCTAAAACTAAAAAAAAAATTCACTGGACTTTTCATCACTTCATCACATCACAATCATGAGGTAGACTAAATACTCTAAAAGCGAGTACTTCTAAGTGAGATGGGGGTGGCCAGCACTCACCACTGGAAGCTCTCCTGAGCTAATAAACTTGAAAGTTGTAATCAATTCAAAGTTCTAATAGTTGTCTGATCTACAGGTGAGTTCTTCTTTCTGTGAAATGTCGCTGTTGATATGTAATACTGTGAGTACCAGCTGTTGTGGTGTGCTTTGCAATTTACATGCAAATTACAGGCTGGCCTACGAAGTACGGAAACTTCAGGCAATGTGGTACAAGGCTTGACCATACCTATTTCCTGAAGCAAAAGAAATAAAACTTTCATCTTAGAGTTCTGGTATGATTTTTTAAAGTAAAAACATGCAGAGAGTAAATTTCTGGCAAGGATGGCCTTGGTAGCACAGCAGCATTTAGCAGTGAGGGCTTAGACCTCTTGGCTACTAGGCAGCTTCTCAAGAACATGATAAAGGGACATCATTTTTCTATTGATTCCTCTCCCTTTGTGCGTGTGCTTTTAAACAGCAAATTATCAGCTCTGTGTACAGAATGTGTTTGCTGAGATTAAGGAACATGATACAAACAACTGCGTTGTCTTTTGTTTCTGTCTGTCATTCAATTTGTATAAAATGATGTATCAGAGGACACAACAAGCTCACAGCTGGTCATGGCTGTTTCTCAGAGACATCTCATTAACACAGAGGGCAAGTCCCCCACCCCTTCTGCCCTGCCTATCCCTTCTAAAAAGCTCGTAGAAATCAGAGTATTCCAGTTATGTCATTTGTCCCACCACATTTGCATGATTGCAATTAGGTCATAATTTTCTAATTGCAACATTATTTCCATCTCCTCTTGCTTATTACCCATGTTGCGTGCATTGGTGTAGAGGCACTTCAGCTTCTTGGGAGAACCTCCCAGATTCCTCTGGGACAAATCAGAAGTTCTCCCATTCTTCTCAAAGTGACAGTGCTCCCTGGTTCTTCTCAGTCACTCAGCACTACATCCCATTTCTCCATCAAATCTAGCTAATCTAGCTTAAAGTTCTGGTGATAAGGCCAGATAGCTGGCTGCCCTGATCACCAGCTGGCTATAGAAAAGTTGATGTGGTGCCCCTAATACACACTGCTTCAGCAGATGTTCAACAGAAACCTTCACTCTAACTTAGACTGAAAACAGGCCTAAGTTTTATTCACCTCAATTTTTTTTAAGACCAACTAAATGCAGGTTATTGACTGTCTGTCTGTCTGTCTATCTATCTATTTATTCATCAAGCGTTTTGTTCCTTGTAGTCTAGATCCTAACAGCTCCCCAGAAGAAAAGCCTTTCCAAAACAGCATCCAGACACAAATTTGAATTTTTATTCTGTGTATTATGAATAAAAGTAGATAACATAGAAATACATACTATAGAGAAAACTGGTAAAAATGTATCAAGTTCAGATGGTTGTCTTGTTTCATGAATAGAATGTGAATAGTTGAGAATGAAAAATATCAAACGAATTAAATTGAAGTCTTTTTCATATAGTTTGCAACTGATCTCAGAGCATTTTACTAACAGAATTGTAATGCTGAATAATGTCAAAAATAAAAAGACTGTATATATAGGAAAACTTTCTGTGTTAGTGTTCTTAATAATAAATACATACATATTTTCTAGAAGTAAGTTTGTGTCCAGTGTAAGACAGCCCACAGTGAGTGCCAAGGTTTGAAGATCAAAATATATCATCAAGCTGCTTATCTTACAAGTTTCTTTTTATTCTCTAAGTTCCTCTTAAGGATGTAATGTATTTCCTTTGTGGATCAGTGTTGGTCAGAGGCAGGATGCTGGAATAAATATGATTCTGGTTTTGACTAACTTGACTTTGACTCAGCAGGACCAATATTTTTTATATTATTTTTAATAACATTATTTCATTTTACTACCTTCTGTTCTGCTGTCTGCATTTTTATGCATTAAAAAAAAAAAACCCCTCCTAAGGGCTTCTGTAAAAATGGAGTGGAAGAGTTTGGAAAACAATAAATTTCAGTAAGTGATAACATGTGAGGGTTTTCTATTTAACCATTTGTATCGCTTAATCCTGCTGTAAATGAGTGCATATAGTATCATACAAAAAGTCTGTATTACATTCTGCATAATTAAGCATCAGAACATTTATTCTAAAAGCAACTTCTCATTTCTCAAATCTTTACATTCTTAAAGATTTATATAATTTAAAATTGCATACTTAGAATCACAGAATGGCTTAGGTTGGAAGGGACCTTAAAAATATATATTCATCTCTCGTCCTATAATTACATGATCATTTTCAGCCCATTCCTTGTGTCTTAGTCGTTGGCTTCATACATATCAACAACCAGAAAGTATGCTGTACTTGTGTTACAGGATTATTTTCTTCCAGTAAATTAGTACATTCAGAGAGATTCACTGTTCTAAAATTTTAGAGCAAAATAACACATCAGTGAAAGAATATTATCAACAATTTTTATTTTATTTACCCAACAGTAGTAGTTTGACTGTCCTGGCTTCCCTCTCTGCATCTTCCTGGAGTTTCTTTTCCAGCTCTCTGGATCTCCTGGCTGACTCCTTGCTCTCAGAACTGGCTCCACCGCCCATCTTGAGGTATTCACAATCCTTTCTTTGTCCCAACTGATTTACTTCTAGATAGACCAATTGCTTTTATTACAGAAGGCCAATAGCCTGTTCTTTGAGAAAATCTAAAAATCCCGTTCAACCCCTGTGCTCAGCTTTCAAATCAAGTTGTCCATTTACATGTGTCAGATGATCTGAAGACATTTGTTGTCAAGGATTTGCATAGAGACATAAAATGTACTGTTGTGATGCCATAGAACCAAGATGATGTATTCAAAAATAAAAACCAGGTCTGGATGGTTCTCTGTCCTTGTTTGGATGGGATACAGCCTCACCCATTTCAAATAAATATGCAGAATGTCTTCAAATGAAAAAAAGTTGGGAGCAGCTTAAGGGAAAAAATTTCAGTCTTTGTGCTGTGGAGAAAAAAAAAAAAAAGATTTATATGTCTTTGAAGCATTCTAAGTTGTCATTACTAAATATCTTTGTTATCTAATTGAGTTATTAATCAGCACGCAGTATGTTCAATGTATTTTCATGTTATGGCAAGTGCATTTATTTACTTGTAATGATAATAAGTTTTTCACTGTGGTTTATAACATCTTTTATTATAGTTTTGTGTGATCATTCCTTAATGAATGTAATTGTGCTTTTCCATTACCCTGTGATTTTGTTATCAGTTATCAGTTTCAGCTGAGAGTACCACACCTTTTTATGAGGAGATAAGACAGGAAAGAGGTCAGATTCTCCTCGTTGATGTAATTATTTTCCTAGCTTTTTTTGCTCAGAGCAATTGCAATATAGAAGTGTTTTTATGTAATATGGCGGGTGCGTATGTTGTCAGCAGTGTATGGAGAAAATATACTCTATTGTAATTCACACCTGGCTGAATTACTGTCAAGAATAAAAGATTGAAAATACATCCTCTTTGGTCTCTTCTCCTTGGATTAAGAATTAAAATAAGTCTCGTTATTGGTGTGCAGTACCATGCAATTAACTGCAATTTTATTCACTTTATATGCAGTATTTCAGTTATATTAAATGCACATATTTGTATAAAATTTTATGGCAATTTTACAGTTATTGACTAGTAATAGTTGGTAATGCTCTGACTTCACAAGATTTAGCCTGGAAATAATGTTTAAGGGAAGTGTAAGCATACAGGTTTGTTTGAGCGATATTAGATAAATTTTCAGACCAGAAGAAAAATGAGGAAGAAGATCAGAAGGAAAGTATTTCACCCGTCCTATTCAGCAGAAAAGTAACTTTCTCCTAGCAGCAATCCAGATGTACCAGGAAGGGAACCAACACTGGGCCATGAAGGTGGGAGGGAGAGGAATGAAGATGAGCAATGTTCCTAATGAGTGATCCATGGGAGTAGGGGAGTGTTGCCTTCTGAGAAAAGACAGGCCCTCTGCTGTTCTGGTCCCATTTATTAGTGAGTGTCACTTCCTACTTAAAAAAGACCACATAATGCAATAAAGATCTGAAGTTGTTCAGTATATGCTTCTCAGTGTAGCAGGAAGTCTGTTTTCAGTACTCTGCACTGCTTTGCCAGAAAGGAATTACCAGTACTTCCAACAGTTGCATTTTTGCATATATTTCTATAAAGGGTAAGATTGCTTTGTTTTGTTAAGCTTGTGTTCCTACTTTGCTTATTTTTTAAGGCAGATCAAAATAAGACCTTAATGCAGCTGTACTAACAACTTGTTTGTTTAAAAAATGAAAATAAGCAGCCCCCAAACTATTATATCTGTACCAGGTGCCTGTTTACCAGAACCACAGGCAAGTACTGTGCCCTCCTGGACTTCAGTGTTTAGGAAAGTAATTTATTAAGCACTTCTCAATCATTTCGTCATTTCTATTAAATATGTACTATCTGGGATTTTTATTTGATAAATTACAAAGACTCTTTGTAGACTTGTTCAGTTGTCTCATAAACCAGTATATAAGGCATAGACTGGTATAACTGTTAATTTTGCATTAAATTTTTATAGTATCTAACTGAAATTGTGCAATTGTAAACTAGAACCTATCCAGGTGCAGTGGAAGGAAATGAATGTAAATAAGTAACAAAGAAGGCTTTACATCATTTTGCCTAGATGGAAAGCAATGGAAAACCAGGTGTGATTTCCATAGCATACATTTCCTAGCATCTTCTGTTGCATGTCTACATATAGGAATTGATTTTATATAATTAGGTGTTTGATAGAAATGGACTGCAAAAAGAACATCAATAGAAATAAAGATAAAAGCCATTACTTCATAAACATGCAATGCCTTTAACATTTTACCCATCTGATTTTCTTGCTTCTACCTTCTAACTCTTAACTAAGTAGTTTACTGGGAACCACAAAATCTGCTTCCATTTATCTGGAGAATTAAAGCAGATTTAGGAGGAAAAAGAGGATTCTGATCTACTTTGAACATCATCATCATTATTATTGCTATCACTACCTATATTCTAATTGATGAATTTTCAGCTAATGATCAAGCGGAAACAATAGGCATTGGCTTATAGGACTCAGATGAATCTAAAATGTACCACAGTAACTTTTTTTCCATCACTTCTAGTTGCAATAATAAAAATATTGTCTCTGTGTCTCTCTTCTGTTGTATAATTCAAGTATGGTTGAAACTGAACTTACTGAAAAAGAGTACATCTGGAAAAAGTTCCTCTGAAATACAGCCAGATTTTGTATAGAATATTAAGTTAATATTACTGGAGTTGTTTCTAGTGATGCACTCTAGATGGTGCTGATATATAGAATGCACACGACAGGCATTTAGTAGCTACTGTGATAAATTATGAGACTTTCTGAAAGGCTGTTACAGGTAATAATTTCCAAAGTTATGGATTTGGAATTCTAGACTGCATTTTCTAATTTTGATTTTGCAATTTAAACTGAAGGTATGCTGGTTTGGGATATTTGTTTTGTAAATGTGGATTGAACTCATTGTAAACTCTTTCAATTAACTGATTTTTTTTTTTTTTTTTTTTTTTTTTTAATTTTCAGTTTCTTTAAGGGGAAAAAAAAAAACACCAAAAAAAAAAAAAAAAAAAAAAACACCTCTGTAATCTTCTTAGTAAAAGAAAGAGTAATAGCTTATAGTAATAGCTTATAGAACACCTGAAAGGTTTTTTGGTTGTTTGTTTCTTTTTATTTCTTTGCATTCATGAACTGACATCTGTTCATCTTTTCCATATTTCATTATAACTAATGTTTTCCCTTTTCCCTGATAACATTTGGAAGAATGACATTGACAAAGAAAAAAAAGAGGAAGTTTTAGTAAGAATGGAATTCTCTAAATATAGAAACTTTCAATACATTTCCTTCATTATGCACCTAAATAAAGGAAGCCTGAAAAATCTTCAGTACAATACCTGTAACAATCAAAGGAAGCTCTTCATCTTTTTCTGTTGTTTGATTACTTTGTTACACGTTGTCCTTGTTAGCGGAGAAAGAAAATCCTTTACACCCAGAATGTTGGCAAATCCATCTGGACTTTTCTAACTACTTGCGTGCAGATACTTTGCTGAATGACAGATATTACAGACACATCAAAGCAAGTGTGGACACTTCTTACAGTCAACTCTGCTATTAGCTTAGATCCATTGCAAGCTACGTTAACTTTGTACAAAGGCAGAGCTTTTAAAACCTGTTAAGAATTAAGTTTTATTACTTTTGGCACTTGGCCACGGTCGTGGAACTTAAATGTTTGTGGATCTGAGGTACTATCTCCACATAGGGCTGTGTTTTGCTATGGTATGTTTAGTTTGGCTTGTTACCTGCAATGTATGATGTAGACATACCCATATCACTTGACTGTGATATGTGATGATATACAGGACATCTCAGGGTATTAATGCTTATGCGAGATTTTCATCTCTCAAACTCACAAGAACAGCAGTGTTAGATAGACCTGGAAGAAAGTAGTGGGATTAACTTCGAACTGGCAACCCAGCCTAGCAGTAACAAGTAACAGGTGGAGAACCTTTGAGTAGTAGATTAGATGTTGAGTTCTTCTTAAGTTATCTCCCTTTGCCACTCAAATTGTCTTCCAAGATACTGTGATTCAGTCATAAAACTGAAACAGCTGAAGCTTGAGTGTGATATGAAGACCACAAAAAGCTGTCCAAATAGATACCTAGGTCTTCTTAAGAATCATCTTCAAGACAAGGGGAAAATATATCAATCTCAAAACCAATCATGTCACTGAAATATTTGGCATAAAAGAAGAAAATGTATCGTCTAACTGATGGTTTCACACTCCTGTAAATGCTTATAGAAATGGCATTAGCAGACAGAATTACTTCTGTTATTTACCATTCAGTCTATGATGGAATCCAACCTTTCAGAATCTCTGGCAGCAGGTTCTCTGATTTTCCTATACTACTGCTGCCTTCAATTCTGTCAGTGCAGATAATGTGATGTATTCAGTTGAGTTGACTCAAGGGTAGTCAGATTTCCACAATTTTCTACTAGGAATCCAGAAACACTCCTTTGGGCACACAACTTTTAAAAACTTGGACATAAAATCTAATGGAAAGACGAATGTTTAAATATTTGCCATGCTGCTAGTCTTTGTATATGTCTTATGTCTGTGAAATAAGGCAATTTCATCAGAAAATCCTCTTTGGTCTTCCTCTCAATAGGGAATACTTTGAAATTCATGTCTGGAGTAAAGTAAAGTAGGCCAGTGGCATTCTGGCTTCTACAAGAAATAGTGTTGCCAGCAGGAACAGGGAAGTGATCATCCCTCTCTACTCAGTGCTGGTGAGGCTGCACCTTGAGAACTGTGTTCAGTTTTGGGCCTCTCTCTACAAGAAAGACATTGAGGCCCTGGATTGTGTCCAAAGAAGGGCAACAAAGCTGGTAAGGAGTGTGGAGGGGTCTTATGAGGAACGGCTGAGGGAACTAAGATTATGTAGTGTGGAGAAGAGGAGGCTCAGGGGTGTTCTCATCTCTCTCTGCAACTACCTGAAGGCAGTTTGTAGTGTAGTGGGGGTTGGCCTCTTTTCCCATTTAACTTGCTGTAGTTCGAGAGGGAATTATTTCAAGCTGCACTAAGGAAGGTTCAGGTTGGATGTCAGGAAATACTTACTCTTCAAGAGAGTGGTCAGGTGCTGGAATGGACTGCCTAGGGAGGTGGTGGAATCACTGTCCCTGAAGGTATTCAAGAAACATTTAGATGTTGTACAGAGGAACGTGGTTTATTAGGAAATATTGGTGATAGGCAGACAGTTGGACTGGATGATTTAGAAGTCTTTTCCAACCTTATGATTTTATGATTCTGTGAAAGTTCCCGGGTCAGTCTCCTGCTCTGTTCTTGATGAACAGCAGTTACGTTTGTGGATACGCACAGTGTTAAAGGGGGATCTGCTGAATTTATGAACAGAGGAGGTTGAAATGTTATGGGATGTAACTTTGTTTACAATTCAGATACCCATGCTAGAGGAGTCAGAACAGAATATCCGGTCACAAAAGTCAGGTTATACATGAAAGATAGCACTCACTAGCAAAGATGGCTTACCTTTTCTTAATCCTCCTTACTTCAGACACACAAGTAAATTTTTTATTTTGTTTTGTTTTAATTTAGATGATTTTATATATAAAAAAAATAGAGATTCCACAAGAAAGAGGCATTCTAGCATGTTTTGATGCCATAGAGCCCATCACAATTTAAGGCAAAAACTGAGGTTGGAAGGGAGATCTAGAAGTCTCTAGTTCAACACTAAGTTCACAGCAGAACTAATATCAAATTTAAAACATCTCAGGGTCTTGAACTGTTAAGTTATAAAATATCCAAAGATGAAAATTTCACAGCCTCTCTGGGTAGCTTATTCTAATGTGAAAATTTTTTTCAATCCCTCTGGTTAGAATCGTCTTTGCTGGAACAAGTGAGCGTTACTTCTTTTCCATTTCTCAGAAGATCCTGGCTCTATTGGATCCTCATTTTCTTAGTGGAATCCTACTGTTTGCAGATTTAATATTTATGTTTACTGTAGATATGTGGGGAAATGATGATTGACAGATCTTTGTCTCACTCTGAACAATATTATTCTTAAACTGCAGGCTCTTGGGCCTTTCCAACTGGAAAACAAACAAACAAACAAAAAACAACCCAAAATCAAACAAACAAACAAGCAAAGCAAAAGCAAAAACTTAATACTTCTAAGTTTCTCATAGGGAAGAAAATTTTTTTTCTGTGTAAAACATTTAAATGCAATGAATATATCTATAGTTAAATTCCATCTGTAAATGTTGCCTTTTTCCCATTAAGATATTAAAAAATTGAAAATTTGGATTTTTTTTTTTAAGTTCATTTTTCTCCTTCCTTGTTTCTGGGTATAAATAAGTAAGTGAAATCTAAGAATTTTGTTTTCCTAATTTGTCATCCCCTTTCTAAGGAAATAATGCCAAATAGCAGGACAGAAAAGGGAAACTTGTCCCTTAGTTCTGTAGCAGTAGGAAAAAATAATGATGTAGTTGTCCATACTTATTGCTTACAAAGGCAAAAAAAAAAAAAAAAAAAAAAAAAAAAAAAGAGAAGTAGAAGAAGAAAAGAAACAACATTAATCATGTTAATAACATCATATTAAAAAAATTACAGTGAGCTGTCCAATTTTTAATCCTGACAGATTTCTTTTTCCAAAATATTGACATACCCAATAATTTGTTTACCTTTATGTGAAGATCTCAGAGTCACTATGGGATACATGAACTGTGCTGGCTTCAGTACACTCATTATCCTCAGTTCTATATTTGCCACATGTGCTGATGCAATGGAATATTTGACACTGTGTGTTCTGAGAGGGGGCCAGCCTGCTCAATATCAGTCCGGATAAGACTCACATAATTCTCGTGTGTTTACAAATACTTTTGCTGAATGTGTGGTCTGTACTTAGTGAATCTGCGCCAAATTTGTTACCAAATTTGTTGCCAGATTTAGCATGTGGCTAAACTACTGTGTTCAAGTAAAGAACCAGTCATTCCAAAAACTTACTATATAGATTTGGCTCACCAGTGAAAAGTCATTATGAAGCCCAAAGTGCTCAGTTTCTCTGAAGTCAGTTCCCTAACAGACCACGTCATGTCTGTGATTTAGCTTCTAGTACAGGATGAACAGTCAACACAGAACATTAAAAAAATCTTGAAACAATGGAGAGATCTTTTGTCAACATCCCACTCTGAACATTTCCAATTCCCAGCAGAGCCATATTATACGATCTGCCCCCCCACTGCCTTGGAATGAAGCAAGAGTAAGAACAAACACAATTTTAATTTGAAATGTAGAACTCCTTTAATAACTAACATTTTAACCTTTCCTTTTGTTGTCAAACTAGCATGAAGGAAAAAATATGAAAAAGGCAAAAATGCCTTTTTTCCTGCCTCCTGGTATTCTTCCTTACAAGAGTAAGTGACAGATTATGCACCTGGGAAGGGGCAACCCTGACTACACTTACAGACTGGGTGATGAGATGCTGAAAAGCAGCACTACTGAAAGAGATTTGGGCATCTTGGCTGACAATAAGTTGAACATGGGTCAACAGTTTGTCCAGGCAGCCAGGAAGGCCAACTGTATCCCGGAATGCATTGGGCATGGCATTATGAAATTTGACTTCTGAATGATATTTGTTTCTTCCTTCAGAATCCTGGCCATGACCATGATATTAAATAAATCAGATTGTTATGTTGGTAGGCTTTTAAAAAGGATGTTGTCACAGAGGAATATTTTTTCTATGAACACATTGCATCGTAACCCTGTGTTTAGACCTAGTGAATTCAAAGAATGGAGCATGGCAACAAATTGTGGTAAGGGAAGAGAGGGAGATTTCCTGGGAAAGTCAGCCTATAATACTGAAGTTATTCTGCAAAAGCTCTGCTCAGTGTAACTTCTCTAAGAAATGTTACCTCTCCAGACAACATAAGCTGTCAATCATTATCTTTGTAGGTTGCAACTATTTTAGCCCTTAATTCTCATTTTCTTCTGTGATCAGACTGGTTTAACTTTCAAATGTATTCAGTCAAGAGGCACAAAGTTAGAATAATATCCTGACATAATGTTTAATAACAGCATGATGTGCCTCATCCTGACACACGTCGCACATAGAGGAAGTACTGGAGTTTTTTCTCTCTTTTGGGAACTGTAAAAATTGTTTTTTGTATTCTTTTATGCTGCTTATAAAGCAGTGTTCTAATTAATGCAACTTGAGATGACACTTCCCCTAGAAAAATATGTATTGTCCTGGGAAGAATTCAAGGGAAAATGGAAATTATCTCATTCTTCTCAGCTCCCACTCCCCTTAAAGAATTACTTAAGGGCTCTGCATTTCTTCCTGAGCTGGGCCTCCACCCCAGAAATGTTCTGTTCCTAGAGAGGAAAGGAAAAACAAAAACAAAGTGTTTTTACTACTCTTCTGAATATAACGAGCACAGCTCAGCCTCTCCCTGGATATTTGGGAAAGGAGATCCTAAGCACACATATGTTGAAAACTCCACCTACATGCAATAGGTTGATGAGAAAAAAATCCCTCAGGTCTCATAAAAATGAGGTCAGGACGTAGGTGTAGAGGAAATGAAAGAGCCTTCAAGACTAGCCACACATTCTCTGAATGCCAATAGTGTCTAATAAGATACCATAATAGTTCCATAACAAAACACAGTTGGGAGTGGATCTCCATCCTCGATGGCATCCAACATCAAATGAGTAAAAGGAAGTGCAAATATAACTTTTAATTAGAGCATAGCATATTCAGGTGGGGAATGCCTCCATTAGGTAACACATTAGTTTATGCCTTCAAGAGTGAAATTTTTGTTACTCAGAACTACACGAAATATTATCCTTCCAGTTTTATTCTGAGAGTTGTTACTTTAAGTGAAATTATTATATATAGAAGACTATCTGAGGACTTGTTCTCTTGGCATCTACAGATGCTCTGTGCAAATGTCTCCCTAAATTTCTTGTCTTCCCAGCATTTATAATGTCTCAAAGTTTACTGGTTAATGTCTCAAAGTTTACTTTACCTAAGTCTATTTGTACTGAACTGCAGAACAGAATCTGCAGGTCCTTTGGACAGTGACTGTGTTTTCCTATTTGCACATTTTTCTCATCACAGGTTCTGAACATGCTGTAGCTGTTTACTGTATTCTGTGGTATAACTTGAGTTATCCCATGTTACAGTGTCCCATGTTCCACTTGTTCTGTTTGCTTTTGCAATTAATTTTATGGTTTCATATTTATTTTTAAATTTGTTGTGGAAGTACTTCCATGTTATGCTGAGTAAAATTCCCTCCAGAGGTCTTTATAACGCCCGTCCCTTATTTATTTTAATGTTGTGCAGCCGGTAAGCTGTGTTACCGATGCTTCACACAAATTTGTCAGGCTATTTACTAATCCGCATGTTCTCTGCTGCTTCAGAGTCACCTTTATGGAAAGTCATCTCTGGGTTGGATGGATGCCACATGCTGCCTTCTGTGATTCCATTTCCAGGGAAGAGGAGGGTCATGTTGTCACAGTTCTGACAGCCGAGCAGCCATGCTTCATGCTACGGTGTAGTGCTCTGCTTGGGTCTTAAATTTCATTTGTGCCTGCTCACTTTTTAAGTCCCTCTGACTTGCAGACACGGCAGGGCTGGATTCCAGCAGTTGGAATCTGATTCCTCGTAAATATTCAGCCCTATATTATGTTCAGATTTTCAGTTTGCAGTCAAACCACTCCCTACAAGTGCTTAGCAATGCCATTTGCCCTTTCAGTTGATCAGCTCTGTTGAATCATCTTGTTGTATGTGACAGAAAGAAATAAGTCTTACTCAGTGTTTGTCCCCTACACTCAGTTATTGGTTGAATTTATAGGCAGCAGCCTGTATTGTATTTGTATATTCAAGAATGCCTGGCAACTATACTAGAATGAGACCTTTAGAAGTGTTCTAGTGAAGAATTTGGTGTGTTCATGACTTTCCCTGAAAAATTTTTGGACTTGGCAATGAAAACTGGGACAAGTAAGGAAAGTTTTCTCAGAGCCAGTTTGGCTTGAAAGCTTTGACGCTTTATTAATACAGTTTTCATTTACTGTTAGTATAAGACATATGTTCTTAAGTTGGGCAAGAGGTTTGCAAGCTAGCTCATTGTTAGCCTTTCCAGATTTTAGTTCTCAAAGCCTTGTTCTTCATTACACCTTCCTATGCTTCCTCAGGCAGAGTGTGAGTTAGATTTCCTGCGTTCCTAAGTTAGAGTGAGGCTGAGATGGTTTCTTTGTCCACAACATGCACAAAACTCGAACACCAGAGATAAGAGTCTTGTTTCCAATGGGAACAACCACATACAGTGGAGATAGATCCAAATTTTGGATCAGTACTTGTACTTTCCAGTACATGTTATATGATTCTAACATAATATTATTGAATCGTTTTCTCCTTTATGTCAGGATGCTGGCTACCAAGATGCTTCATCTCCCTGGATTTTTTAATCTTTCCTATAGCTACTTTTGACTCTCCCTGTGTGCTGAAATCCCTAGAATTAGTACTACTTGTAGCATAGTAGTACATTCAGAAAATAAAATGTTTGTTTATTATTTGGCTTGTGACTTCATTAATATGATCAAATTTTAGAGCAAATTAGTCAATAATAACTTTCAAGAATGCATTTCTCTTCAGATGGCTGCTGAATCCTATTTGTTTTGAAGCACAATGTGTGTGCAGGTAACTCCACAATCTGGAAGCCCCTCTAGGGCCTGAAGGAAGAGGCAGGTGTCATGACTGTAAGTGTACCCAGCTATATGAACATCTTGAGTAAATTGCCAGTTCCTCTATCCTCCCAACTGGAGACTACCTGATGTGGTTGCCAAGCACTGTCCATTGTATTTGAAAAGTCATGGATGTCAGGCAAAGTCTACAGTGACTGGAAAGAGGGAAACATCACTCTCATTTTTAAGAAGGATAGAAAGGAAGACCTGAGGAACTATAGACTGGTGAGCTTCACCTCAGTGCCTGAGAAGATCATGGAACAGATTCTCCTGAAATCTGTGTTAAGGCATATGCAAGACATGGAAGTAATCCAAGACAGCCAGCATGGCTTCACCATGGATCATCTGCATGGACTTTCTTCAGCATCCTCAATTACTTGCCCTTCAGGTCCCAGAGCTTCACACCTATTTTCCCAGGGCACATGGGAAAGATGAGATAGGCTGTGAGGGGATTCAGTTGCTGCCCCAAGCAGGGATCTATTTCCACTCTTCATCTCTTAGGTCCCCTCCTTCTGCCTGATGACAAGAGAATAGAGGATCCACCACTACTTGCAGAATGTCCTCCCAGTGCCTCTCTTGCAGGGATGACAGGGTACGGATACTCCAGTCAATTTCTCTCTCACACGATTTGCCTACTGATTTCATACAATACATTGCCATAATTTGTAGGGTATACTAGAAGCTAATACCTGAAAAAGTAAGTGGTGCCTTCAGATATGAACAAGTGATCATGAGCTTGCTGATCATTCTTTATTCCCAGCTACTTTGCTGAAATCACTTATTTTTTTCTGGTCTTTGGTTGTATCTGTATGTACACCCAGCTTTTCTTTTGCTCAAATTGCTCAAGCACTTAGCATCTTTCTAGAACATATGACCCTGTATTGTAAGGAAAAACGGTGAAAATGTTTTCTTACTTCCAAGAGCTTATGCTGAAGAGAGTTTCTAGGAGGGCACCAAATAACAATCTGATGCTGCATCATTGTGAACAGAGGCCTAAGGTGTAGGCAG